ATGCAGAATCCCCACATTGTTTCCCTGACATGTGGAATAAGAGCTATTAGGGTGAGAAAGGCTACATGGAAGACACAAGAACTTCTTTTTCCTAGAAAAATAGTAAACTGAAAATTTATATCTGGAGGGATATAAAGGGATTCAAGTGCCACTCAGATATTAGTGCCACTGTCAGAGACTTGAAGGATGCAGCAGTGGTGATTCTCATCACATTCCCATTTGACTGTCCTATATGGCCTGTGTAGAAGACAGATGGATCTTGGAGAATGACAGAGGATTAGATATACTAATGAGTTGGTGACACCAATTGGTTTTATTGCTTGAGCAAATAACACAACTTATAGAACCTGGTATGTAGCTATTGACTTGGTGAATTGTTATTGGTGTTTTTCATCCCAATTAATAAAGATCATGAGAAGCATTTTACTTTCAGCTAGGAAATCCAATAATACACCTTTACTGTTAAAAACCAACGGTTATATAAACTCTCCAGCACTATGCCATAATTAATTGGCAGATATTTGATCAACCTTCTCGTTCACAATATATAGCACTAATCTTTTTACACAGACCAATACATATATCACACTATTCTCACATGTAATGATAAAACTATGCCGACTGAACCTAGTGAAGAAGAAGTAGCAAATATTTATGTTTACGTGCCAGAGGTGGGAATTAAATCTCACAAAAGTTCAGGGGACTTCTACCTCAGTGAAATTTCCTGGATTCCAGCGTTGTGGGGTGGTGTGGAGCATATTGAGATGTCTCTTCTAAAGCGAAGCTTAAGTTGTTGCAGCTGGCACCTCCTATAGCCAATAATAGAGGCATAGCATGATCCTAGTGAGCCTCTGTGGTCTAGTGAGCCTCTTTGGATTTTGAAAGCAACATATTTCTAATTTGGATGTGTTGCTCTGGGCCACTTACTAAGTGATCCAAAAAGCTGCTAGTTTTGAGTGGGTCCCAGAACAAATAAAATGGATCTGTGACAGGTTCAGTCTGCTGTGCAGGCTGTTCTATCACTTAGGCCATATGATTCTGCTGACCCAATGGTGCTTGAAGTGTTAGTAGCAGATAAAATTACTGTGCGGAGCTTTGGACAGTCCCCTGTCAGTTAAATGCCATGCAGCCATTTAGAATTTTGAAGCATAGCTCTGATACCCTCTGGGGATAGCTACTCATCTTTTGTTAAACAATGTTTACAAATTATCTGTGCCTTTGTAGAAACTGAAAGATTGAGCATGGGCCACCAAATTACCATAGGACCTAAGTTGCCTATCATGAATTATGTGCTTACTGACTCACCAACCCATAAAGTTGGGCATGCACAGCAGCATTTAATCATCAAATGGAATTGGTATATATATATGATCAGACCTAAGCAGTCAGTGAAGGCACAAGTAATTTACATGAAAAAGTGACCCAAATGTCCATGGTACCCACTTCTGCTAAACTACCTTTTCTCCTTTCGCCCTTACCCATGGTCGCATGGAAAGCTCCTTAACATCAGTTGACAGAGAAAGAGAAGACTTAGGTATGGTTTACAAATGGTTCTCTATGATATCCAGTACCAAATGATAGTGAAAGGTACAGCACTACAGCCCCTTTCTGGGACATCCCTGAAAAATAGCCGTGTAATTGTCCCAGTCAGCAGAAATTTGAGAAGTGCACCTGGTTGTTCATTTCAAGGAATTTCATTGAGGAAAAAATGGTGATCTTCACTCCTGCCTGAGCAACAGAACAAGGAAAAACAAACAAACAAACAAAAAGATATGTTTTTAGGCCTCTCTGCATGGTGAAAAACATAAAGATCTGTGTATTTTCTTTCAGTGCCCACCAAAGAACAACTACAGCAGAGGAGGATTTTAATAGTCAGATGGATAAGATGAACTATTCTGTGAATTCCTGCAACCTCTTTCTATAACTTCCTCTCTTTTTGCCCAATGGGCTCACGAACAAAGTAGTCATGGTTGCAGGGATAGAGTTATGCATAGGCTCAGCAATATACACTTCCACCAAGGCTGACCTGGCTATAGCCATTTCTGTATACCCAATATCTGCCAGTAGCAAAGACCAACACTGACCCCCTCCAATGCCCCCACCCATATTGCACCATTCCCCTGGGTGATCAGCCAGCTACCTGGTGGCAGTTTGATTACATTGGACCACTTTCATCAAGGAAAAGGCATTGTTTTGTTCTTGCTAGAACAGACACTTACTCTGGGTACAGATTTGTCTTCCCTGCTTGCAATACTTTTGCCAAAATAACTATTCACGGACTTACAGAATGTCATAGCCACCATTTTGGTATTCCACTCAACATTACTTCTGATCAAGGATGTTACTTCATAAAAAAAGGAATGTACCAATAGGGTGCACTGGTCTTATTGTGTTTCCCATGATTCTGAAGCAGCTGGTTATAGAATTGTGAAATAGGCTTTTGAAAACTCAGTTACAGTGCCATCTAGAAGGCAATACCTTGCAGGACTGAGGCAAGGTTATCCTGCCGGCTGTGCATGCTCTGAATTGGCATCCAATATATGGTGCTGTTTCTGCCACAGAGTTCACAATTCCAAGAATCAAGGAGTGGAAATAGGAGTGACACCACACACTATTTGCTAGTGTCCAACTATAAAAAATTTGCTTCCTATTCATGTAATTTTATGCTTTAGTGCTCTAGCAGTATTAATTCCAAAAGAAGGAGTGCAACTACCAAAAAACATGATTAATTCTACTAAATTGAAAGTTAATATTGCAACCTAACCATTTTGGAGTATTCATGCTTCCAAATTAATAGGCAAATAAGGGCATTACTGGGCTTGCTGGTATGATTTTTCTGGTCTACCAAGGAGAAATTGGACAATGGAGGTAAATAACATTACCTTCACAATGGAGGCAAAGAAAAGTATGCCTTGAATACAGAAACTAGGGTATCGTACTAGTACCACACTCTGTGATTAAAGTTAATTTGGGAAAACTACAAAAACACAATTTAGACAGGATTACTAATGGCCCGGACCCTTCAAGTATAGAGGTGTGAGTCACTGCACCAGATAAAGAACCACAATTAACTAAGGTGCTTGTTGAAGCCAAAGGGAATATGGGATGGATAGTGGAATAAGGTAGTTATGAATACCAGCTACAACCATGTGACCAGTTATAGAATGAATTATTCTAATTGTCCTGAGTATTTCACCTATGTTATGAATATGTATGTAGGAATTATATTTCTTTTTCTCTGTTATTCTTTCAACATGTAACATAAGATGTACTGACCACATATGGTATTTAGGTATTATTAATTTTGCATTGTAGTATTTCAGTTATGAGCTATAAAGGAGAAGGGTAAATATCAATCAGATACTTGGTGTCCTCTTTGGAGGATGGAGTCCTGTATGTTCAGTTGTATACAGAATAGTTGTATTACGTTAAGTGAAAGTATAACCTTGTTACTGTTGTTATTTTGGAGATCAATTACTGCTTAAAAAGAGGCATATTGGTGCCAAGTTGACAAGAGGTGGACTTGTGATTCTTAATTTTATGTGTCATGTTGGAGAGTGTTTGAGATGAGATAAACATTTAAAACAATAAAATCTGGGCAAAGCAGATTGCCCTGTATAATGTAAATGGGCCTCATGCAATCAGTTGAAGTCTTGAAAATGACAAAAAGACCAGACTCCTCCAGCAAGAGAGAAAGTCTCCAGCAGACTGCCTTTGGATTTGGCTCCATCAGCATTCCTGGGTTTCTAGGCTTCAAGCCCACGCTGTAAATTTTAAAGTTTTCATCTTTCATAATCACACAAGTTACATCTATATAATAAACCTGTATAATCTACATAAATAATAACTTGTAATACATTTTTTTAAGTATATGAACATTCTGATTCTCTGAAGAACGCTGACAGACTATTCTATTTCCTTCTGTCTCCCAGTGATTCTAATGAAAAGATTAGCTGTTATTCTTATTGGGATTCACTTGTACATGATGAGTTGTATTTTTCTTGCTGCTTTCAAGATTTTTGCCTTTATTTTTCAACATTTTTATGATGTGTCTTTGCATTTCTTTGAGTTTGTTCCATGTCTTGGATATTTAGATTAATGTTTTTCACCAAATGTGAGAAGTACTTGACCATTTTGTATCCAAATAGTCTTTCTGACACTTCCATGGGCCTCTCAATATGCTAATGTTGGTATGCTTAATGATATGCGCAGGTCTCTAATGTTATTCAGATTCCCAGAAATACATTTGAGGTTTATAAAACCCACGATGGACATCTCATTTCTTTCTTTTTTTAATTTTTTTGGTCAGCCTGTTGTTAGGTATAATTGATAATAGCAGCTTAGGGAGCTAAAATATGAAAGAACTGTCTCTGACTATTTTTAATAAGCACTCTGGTAATAAGGCTGTTCACATAGAGCAAGTTTTGATTCACATCAAATAAAGACAAGCCCTACGAATGAAGGTTTTTAGCAAGCTGCTAAGCAAACCAAATAGTGTTGATTCTCTGGTGATCTGAGTTTTATAGAAGGCCAGAACCTTTTTGCCTCTTCCAGTGGCTCCTAGGTGCCAGGTTTTCACAGCTACTGCACTTATTAGGCTGTAGGTATTCAGGTCTACAAGGGAGCTAGCAGAGAGAAATGAGATTAAGACAAATCAAAATGCTATAAAGCCTGCTCTTGTTACTTAGATTTAGCCATTTATCTTATGTAAATATTCTTCAAATTGCTGGATCCTTTGATTTCCAAAATTATGAAAAAGTTCTTGACTTTCTTTTCAGTGTTATTGTTATATAATTGTGGAATTGCCTATTGTTGCTTTTATTAAAGCTGAGTTTTAAGAGATTTTATTCTAGTATTCTGGAAGTGTTTTCCTCCTCTATCAATATCCTCAGATATTTATTCTAGGGTTATAGTTATTCATTGAGTCCTTCATTTTCCTTGCATTATTTCTATCAACGTTCTTATTCACATTACTTCTGTTTGAAAGATAATTGTCATGCTTGCTTTGGCAGCACATATGCTAAAATTGGAATGATATAGAAAGATTAGTATGGCTCCTGCTCAAGAATGACACTCAAATTCGTGAAGTGTTCCATATTTTTTAAGCATCATGGTACTGGTCCCAAAACAGAGATATAGACCAACGGAACAGAATAGGGGCCTCTGAAATAATGCCACACATCTAAAACCATCTGATCTTTGACAAACCTGACAAAAACAAGCAATGGGGAAAGGATTCCCTGTTTAATAAATGGTGGTAGGAAAACTGACTAGCCATGTGCAGAAAGCTGAAAGAGGACCCCTTCCTTACACTTTATACAAAAATAAACTCCAGATGGATTAAAAATTTAAACATTAGACCCAACACCATAAAAACCCTAGGAGAAAACCTAGGCGATACCACTTAGGACTTAGGCATAGGCAATGACTTCATGACTAAAACACAAAAGCAATGACAACAAAAGCCAAAATAGACAAATGGGATATAATTAAACTTAAGAGCTTCTGCACAGCAAAAGAAAGTATCATTAGAGTGAACCAGCAACCAAGAGAATGGGAAAAATTTTTTGCAAGCTACCCATCTGACAAAGGGCTAATATCCAGAATCTACAAAGAGCTAAAACAAATATACAAGAAAAAAAAAACAAAAACAGTTACATCAAGAAGTGAGCAAAGGATATGAACAGGCACTTTTCAAAAGAAGACATTTATGCAGCCAACAAACATATGAAAAAAAGCTCATCATCCCTGGTTACTAGAGAAATACAAATCAAAACCACATTGAGATACCATCTCATGCCAGTTAGAATGGCAATCATTAAAAAATCTGGAGATAACAGATGCTGGAGAAGATGTGAAATAATTAGAAAGCTTTTACACTGTTGCTGGGAATGTAAATTAGTTCAACCATGTGGAAGACAGTGTGGTAATTCCTCAAGAAACTAGAGATAGAAATACCATTTGACCCAGCAATCTCATTACTCGGAATACACCCAAAGGATTATAAATTGTTCTTTTATAAAGACACATGCACACATGTTCATCATGGCACTGTTTACAATAGCAAAGACTTGGAACCAACCCAAATGCCCATCAATGATAGACTGGATAAAGAAAATGTGGCACATATACACGATGGAATACTATGCAGCCATAAAAAAGAATGAGTTTATGTTCTTTGCAGGGACATGGATGAAGCTGGAAACCATCATTCTCAGCAAACTGACACAAGAACAGAAAACCAAACACTGCATGTTCTCACTCATAAGTGGAAGTTGAACAGTGAGAACACATGGACACAGGGAGGGGAACATCACACACTGCCATCTATTGGGGGGTTGGGTGCTACGGGAGTGATACCAGGGGTTGGGAAGATTGGGGAGGGATAATATTAAGAGAAATATCCAATGTAGGTGAAGCGGGGATGGATACAGCAAACCACTATGGCATGTGTATACCTATGAAACAATCTTGCAAGATCTGCACATGTACCTCAGAACTTAAAGTAAAATTAAAAAAAAAAAAAAAGAAAGAACTACAAAAAGAAAAAGTCTGGAGACAACAGATGCTGGAAAGGAAGTGGAGAAATAGGAATGCTTTTACGCTTTGTGGAAGTGTAAATTAGTTCAGCAATTGTGGAAGAGAGTGTGGCAATTTCTCAAGGATCTAGAAATAGAAATACCATTTGACCCAGCCATCCCATTACTGGGTTTATGCCCAAAGAATTATAAATCATCCTAAAAAAAAAAAGAAAGAAAGATAACTGTCATGCATATTGTAACTTAGCTGTACCCTCTACACAAGCAAATACCAATTTTATTTTTACTTTCTTACTACAAGTATACAATTGTTTCTGCTTACCTCAGGATAAAAAAAATAAGTAACTTATCTTAAACACTCTTACAATATGGCTTCCAAGACATTTGGTACTAACACCCCAAGATAATGGGTATAAATTAGTAGATGTACTTACCTTCTGACTTTGAAATTAGTAAAAGCAACACAATTAATTGGAATTATATACATCTTGTCAGTTGTGACATATTAACACACCAAGTCTGAATTCACTGAGTAGGCATTCAAACCTTGGGCAAATATTTTGCATTTATTTATTTATTTTTTTTACTTATATATTTTTTGAGATGAAGAGTCACTCTTTTGCCTCGGCTGGAGGGCAGTGGTGCAATCTCAGCTCACTGCAACTTCTGCCTCTGGGTTCAAGTGATTCTCATGCCTCAGCCTTCTGAGTAGCTGAGACTACACGCCTTTTTTGTATTTTTAGTAGAGATGGGTTTTCACCATGTTAGCCAGGATTGTCTCGATCTCCTGACCTCAAGATCCACCTGCCCCAGCCTCCCAAAGTGCTGGGATTACAGGTGTGAGCCACCGCACCTGGCCTAATTGAAATTATCTATGTTTTGTCATTTGCGACATTAAATAACACATAAAATCTGAGTTCACCAAGTGGGCATTCAAATCTTGGGCAAATATTTTGCCCTCTTGGGTTCAATTTCCTGAGTTTCAGTGTAGGTAGTAGCACTGCTGTGGGAACCAAGAATCAAATAAATTAGAAAACACAACTCAAATGTCAGTTAGTGCTATTTGCTAAATATTATATATTCTAGAAAAGATTTATAAGTAAAAATTTGATGAAAAGTCATTATATTCCAAATCAAATAAGACAGCCAAAACATTATTACAGTTTAATGGAAGAATTTCATACTGTGTCCTTAGAAAAGAGTAACTGGAAATAAGTGATGTAAAAAGCTTTCCAACACATATAATTTTTTCCTATGCTTTTGTACAGCAGACTTGCATACTGCATTCACCTTGAAAATGGAGAGTGGATGGGCAAACATTTATCAACATTTATAGAGTCATTTTCCAAGGAAGAATGATACTGTTTCTGTCTTCCAATTCTGAATATTTCAAGCACAATTTTGCTGTAAAGCAGTTTATCAGCTTCTTTATATTTTAAATAAAATATCCCTTTAAAAACATAATCGCTCTCACCCAGTATCTAGGCTGTTCTTCGCTCCCCTACAGTAATCAAAAGCCTATTATTTAGATGAACTCACATCCATGTATAATAAGGGCTAATTGAACACTTTACTTCTTTCTCTGAATGTTGTTTACAACATAATATTCTGAAAATTATTTTATTTCCAAAGTATTAAAATTCTTGGGCAGGTTTATACAATTCTCAGGAAATAAAAGATTTCCAGAGAATTGAGACTATTTATTTTGCTAGAACATCTGCAGCTAGTGTGTCCTTCTTATGATCATAAGAACAAAAAAATCGGGGTGACAGCCTATTCAACAACTCATGGGTAGTTCAAAGGTACCTTACGTGCAGTATGCCAAATAAATGGATCATCACTCTTCTTCCTGCAAATTCGTCAATTTTCTACATTATTTAATTAGTGCATAATACTTTCATCCATCAAATTGTGGAAGAAGTTATCTATTACTTCACTCACTTATCCAATCCACTAAAATTTCAGCTTATGTCACCTCCTAAATATTCATATCTGTTTGCTCTGTTGTGTCTTCACTGACATTAGCTTAGCTTAAGTTAATATTACTCATTTCATAGATACATCCCCCTAACTAATGTGTCTGCAGGTATACATTTCTTCATCTAATTCATTCTTTTTACTGAAGCCGATGTGGTGTTTTGAGAGTGTAAATAATAATGTCCCAGGCAGGCTTAAGTCCAATCAGTGCTTTTCTATTGTTGCTAATGCAAAGCTTAAACTTTCTAAGACAAGCACTTATTATTTATTGTATTTATTTATTGTTCTGGGCTCTGCCTACTTATTATTTAATAATGTTATTCCCTTTCGTTTCTAGCTTTGAAACTAGTGGTGTATTAGAAAATGGTTAACAATCAGTTGAAGCCAGGATTTATATTATCTGCCATTATCTGTGGTGTAAATCATTGTATGTAGCTTGTATCAAGTTAACATGACATCAATGAATGTAAGGATGGGAAAAGATGCACACAATTAGCTTCCCTGAGCAAGTCCAACTTGAGTCCTGCACACAACTGGTTCTAAACACTAGAGTCTTTGCATATGTTATTTCCTGAGCTTAGACCACTGCCCCATCTCTCTGTTTTCATTCATCTTTGTTTCCAGGCAAATATTAAGTTCTTATTTCTTCAGGGAAACCTTCCCTAACTCACAGACTAGGTCAAAACGTTTTACAATGTAATCTTCTAACATCTGCACTTTGTAAAATTCCTCTCTCGTATTTCCTATTATAATTTTTAATGTATTTGCTAATTATCTAACATATACCTATCTTCCAATAGACTATGCAAACAAAGGCAGTAGAGATCGTTATTTTGTTTGTTTTGTTTTGTTTTTTTTTACTTTTAGATATCTAGACTAAGTCTCTGGCACAGTGTATATTCTCATTAAATATCCGTGGAATGCATAAAGTAAATATGCAAAGAGAAAATAACATATCAATGATGCACCAACATACATTTATTTGTCACTTTACCAGGAAAAATGCATGGAAAAAAATCAGATTATAATTGTCTTAACAGCTGCTTAAATTCTTAGAAGCCAGGCAGGCTTTCTATAATAAAAACAATTCTCTGTTAATTATATATGTAATAAGAACTGGGAATTGCCTTTCATAACATCCATTCCATCCTCTTTTTGTTACTGTTTTTGGACCTTCTAAAAATTACATATTTGAATCTTCTCTACAGTCAGGAGTCTGCATGTAAATTGCTTTCCTCTAATAAGAAAAATGCCCAGAGAGGAAGTCAAATTGTATCTGTTTGCATAAGACATAATTATATATTTACAGAGCCCTGCTGTCTCAGCCCACAATCTCCTTAGGCTGATATGCAACTTCAGCAAAGTCTCAGGATACAACATCAGTGTGCAAAAATTACAAGCATTCCTAATACTAATAATAGACAAAAAGAGAGCCAAATCATGAGTGAACTCCAATTCACAATGCTACAAGAGAATAAAATATCTAGGAATACAACTTACAAGGGATATGAAGAACCTCTTCAAGGAGAACTACAAACCACTGCTCAAGGAAATAAGAGAGGACACAAACACATGGAAAAACATTC